CCCCGTGCTCCTCCCATGCCACCCCTCCTCATATGGGAGGAAATAACACTCCCTATTGCCCGCCCAGACTGCCTTCCCACGGCTGCTCCCCTTTCTTGCTACCATCCAACTGCCGTCCTTTTCTTTTATTTGCCTTTCTGTTTCCCCGGCTTCTGCACCCCCTTTCTACTGCAGCTGCTGTACCCCCTTCCTGCTTTCCCCTCGGTTGCATCCCGGGTTTCCTCCTGCAAGTTCCTTCCATTTTGGGTGGCCCCGACCTCGTCCATGACCCACGTGGCAAACCCCGTGCCTAGCCCCCGATAGGTTGGGGAATTTGGAGCTGAAGTCGGCCGCGATCTATCAAAGCTGCTCGAGTCCGACTGATATTTCCCTCCTGTCGCTATCGTTTTCGTCGTTCTCATTGCCCTGCCATTCCGGCACTCTGCCCAGCAGCTTCTCATCCTCACCAGCGTTAATCTTGGATCGGAACCGCCGCTCCCCGGCCCGGCAAAGCCCACAACTTGTAAAAGTCTTTACCAGGGCTTGTCTTACCTGTGCACCTAGTCCCATAGGTCATCGCCTCCGGAACCTGAGCCGCTAGCAGTGTCGCTCTCGGTTCCATCGAACAAGGCTTCTGAAACACTTCTAGGAGGGGCTGTATCCGGCAAGCTGTTTGTGATTTCTCCATCGGAATCGCTGACGTCTATTTCCGGGTGCAGTTCTGTGGTATCTTCTGGAAACCCGAGCGGCGGATCTGTGCTTTCTCCACTGTGGTTTTCAGATGTGGCCGGGTCCGGTTCTGGGGCATCGCCCGGAAACCCGAACGGCTGATCCCAGAGGGCACTTCGGAGAGGGTTTAGCTCCGGCTGTTTATATGGTTCGTATCGTGTAGGACTATTCTCCCTTGTTGTTGTTGTTGTTGAGCTTCCAGTCGACATCCCTTCGCTGTCGATTGAGGAAAGCCATAGAGCAACCCATTCGGTGTTGAGTGATTGAGCCATAGGAGCGCAGATGATTCGAAAGTAATGTGAACACAGATGTAGACTAATTACGGTATTGGGGGAGGTGGCCGCTTATATTTCAAGCCCAGGGACCTTACCAGGTAGAAGGTGTCGCTTACGGCCTGGTGACCCTTGCGCAAATACTGGACAAACTGAAAACTCCACGCTCCCTCATGCGAGTATTAAATAAATCAAGGGTCGAACTCGAGGACCGATACTCCCTCGTGGAGTCGCTTTGGGGGTGGCAATCTTGTCATTGGCCTAAACGCTGACAAAGAAGGGCCAGTTAAAGAACAAAGAAAGTTGATTGATTTGGACAAGCTGCCGAATATACAAAACTACCCATCGAGGATACGCCGTCCCTCGCCGGCGCGACGTCTCCCGGAATTTCTACCAACAACACGACAGCTCGTTGTCACCATACATGGAAAACAGAAAGGTTGACAAAAACGAGGGCAGATACAATATCCAGTGGCTACCCACTCCTTCCTCCCTCCACGCAGCAGCTTGTAAGCAGGTCCCCTAACACACGTATGGATGCCGCTGAGAGGGAGGGAAGGTCTATTCGTCGGTTGGAGCACAGGGCACAGCAGAAACAAGGGAGAATATGTTGAAGGCGTTGGACTCGGCTATGTCTGACGGTGGAGGGCTTAGGAGATCGCGGGAGCTGTTTAGGTACGCTGGAGGTACGCTGCTGGCTTCGAGCGTGAATGATCCGGTTGGTGGTGTCGGGAGGGACCAGGGCGACAGTGATACTTGATGCATCAGTCCAGGCGGAAAATCAAGGAATGCTCCTCGGTCGTCATGCATGCACATGATCTCCAGGGACGCGGCTGTTCCGGGGTCCACCGCGCCCAGTGGCTCCGTCCTGATACCGCCAGGTCCTAGGTTCGGCTGGGCCTTGAGCATTTCGGTTTGCTTGGCGAAACCGTCTTCGAACCTCGCGATCTGGTTTTTCATGTCCTCGTTTTGCGCTACGAGACAGTCGCATCTGTTCTAGAGGTTTTCCACCTTTTTTCCCAGGAGCTCCACGGTCAACTCCAGCTTTGTCAGAACCTCCAGAATTTCAGTGTTGCGCGCCCTGCCAGGGTTGAGCCTTGTCAGCGGATAGGTTATGTAGAATTGGGGCATATACACGCACACACATTAGCGCCTTGGGCCGGCTGGAACTCACGTTTTCGAGGGAGCGTATTTGCAGTTAATACGCTTGTTTGTGCAGCCCCCGCAGGGGTTCTTCCCGTTGCATCTCGTCTTGTACTGTCTGCAACTATCACACGCCTATAAAGTGATTCCCAATAGGAAAAGCGTTAGCAGGACACTCGTCACAATTCTACGATCGCGACCTGCTTCGGATCTTTCCCCTTGTTTTCTTCCTCCAAGACTCACCTGGGTTACGTGGCTGTTCCTGGGTGGCAGGCCAGCGCGTACGCGCGGCTAGGAGAACCAGAATGATGGGTCGTGATATGAGAAGGTCGAGAATATTTCCACCTGGGACCGCTGCGGGTCCGGCGGCGTCACTCCTGGAGGCTCGTTGGCCACAGGACCATCAAAATACTGAGCCGGCGAACCTTCTGCACGGTCGGACGCGGATGGTGCTTCAAGCACCCGCGGTTGCGTATGCCCCAACATTGGGTGGGCACAACAGCTGCTGAAACTTTGACAAACTCCGTAGCAAAGAACAGCTCAGGTAGGACGGCAGACACCAAGAGGGAAAGGGGATTTGTTGATCATAAAGGCGGAGGCGCAAGCAGACGGAAAGGTGAAAACGGCCTTGGGAGGGGGCAGCGTGGCTTATTGTAGAAGACTCGGCCTTAGAGGCATATGAAAGAAGCACCACGGGCCTTGTGGGGAAAAGCGGAGATTTAGGAGCCAGTGCTGCCCAAGTCGTCATCAGCACTCGTGAAATAATGGTATTTCAGGGGCGTCAAAGTCTACAAACTGCAGCCCCGTAGGTACGGACTCGGTGCCTTTCGCACACCCGCCCGCAGTGTGGAGACCCCCGCGCGTTTTCCACAGACGCGCCTTTCCTGCCAACAGCAGCGAGGTTGCGCTTGGGGGAGCAAACACCCTTCCATTACCCCTATTTGATATTAGGCGATGCAGCCCCCGAGACCCATTAAGGATGTGCCTTGTTCTGCTTTGCCACGAGCCGTGTTGTTGGGGCAAAGACGTGCTTTGGCTGGTCCCATGGTCCATTTAAGGCTAGCTCAGCCAAATGCTCAGTGGTGGCGGCGCTCGTCGATACGCGGAATTCACCTTCAAAGGCTGACCTGGATTTCCGGGATGTCAGCATCTGTCGATGTGCCTGCGCAAGCTGGCCAAGGATTGAATTTTGCCGAGGTGTCCGGGGCAAACAAATAACATACAAGTGATAAATGACCTGCGACTTGTCTCCGCATACACTCCCTGCGGTGTGATGAAGATCAAGCATGAGAATGCTCCAGCATGACTTTCTAGTCTAGATCCACGCCGCGGACAAGTTATGCGGCCAGCAACTGAATGTTGGGTACCACACCACGCACAGGTTGTGGGATCGTTTGAAGTTAAGCCTGATGGAGCGTGGGGGCATCAACAGAGCGAGGTATCAAACGTGGATATGTGAGTCGTCGCTGCATTTGTGGAGCTGCAAAGTTACATCTCCCCGATCGGGTGGGACATCTACACGGCCCCCATTGTAGAAGGTTCCTGTTCCCTCTTTCCACGCGTGAATTAGCCGGTGCGCAAAAACGACAGCTGGCACGGTAATAAGCGACCCAATCCCAAGTTTCTGCGGAGATTACCCCAGCTCGGGAGGCAAGGTATGCGTGGTGGCGCGACGAGTTGCCATAAGCTGACGGTCCGAAAAGCAAAGTCAGGATAGCAGACCATAGGTCTTGAGGCGGTACGAGCGGCCTTTTAGGGACTGTCTTGGTGGTTTATTTTTGGCAATTGTTACGCCCAATGGGAAGGAGAAGGACCGTTTCTAACAGCTGGAAGTCAGAAGCACTCTGGGCAAGAAAAGCATGGGCAGCCGACGACTGTGTGAACTGGGTAAAGGATGCGTTTTCGGCTGAAGAGTGCCACGTGATTTGCGTGGGCGATGAAAAAAGTGCCAGAAAAAGTATTTTCAGCCCAGAGAAGAAGGGACGAGGAACAGGGGGAGGGGGCCTCTCCTCCCGCCTCCACATTGCCCGTCCTCCCCCCGCCGGCCTACCCTAGTCGGGGCAAGGACATGGGTGTTTACCCTGTCCTGTCTTTCTTTTCTGCCTTAGAGCCAATACATGCGATGCGGTCGCACACCGGAAATGGAACACTGCAAACCCGCTAATTTTCCCTTCCAAGCCAGCCGAACTGCTCTTGTGCCTGGATCCCTGGCGGCAGGACAGCCAAGTCTCGACTAAGTAGGAAAGAACCCGGCC